TTTTGTGTAAAGGTTTAATCAACGATAATTTCAATCTATCAGGAAAACAACCCTGTTCAAAAGACAGATTAATAATGTGAGCCAATTTTTTAATATTTCGTCTATTTCATGTAAATTGTGAATTAACTTTTAATGACAACAGGCAAACTTTAGTTTTTTTTATGTTTATAGCTACTTGAACAGTTTAACTTGTATATGTATAATCGACTGCACAGTTGATGCGGTGGCTGGGTAACTGACTGCCGTGCAACGTATCGCGGATTCTCGCTCGGAACAAATCTTTGTGTGATCTACAAATTGTTGTTTCGTGTCTGGGTGGACACAGGAGAAAATCCTAATGTGGAGTAACGTTTAAAAAAAAATCAAAACACCACAATCACTCTACCCAAGATCCACCTACAATATCTGTAATTGCTTACAGTATTTTCTTCTGATTTTGAATCTTATAACTAAGCTAACGAAGGTATACTTGGATGCAGCTACACTAAATAAACACATTCCCAAGAATAACAATTCTAGCAATAATTTAATCCTTACAAAAACCCAATTACTACACAATACAAAATCAGAATCCTAGTATAAATGAGAAATCCAACAAAACATCGTCCATAATATTCTATCAGCATTACTTTTTATCGCGAAAGCATTCTCGGTTAGATGTAATCGTGATTCGCAAGAGGTTCCGAGTTGAGACGACAATGCAAAACGCGGAGAAGCCAAGCTTGTGGTGATATTAAAAAGCGGGGGTGAAAGCGAATTGATTAGCTGTCAGCAACCGCCGCCGACCACTCGGCCATCAAATTCGCGGAATATATTAAAAATATACTTGGAAATGACTCTAGTGAGTTTTATTACTGGAAGGCTGGTTTTTGAAAATTACACTTTGTAAGGTGGTGGTTCGGAGAGATCAACTAAACACGTGTAGTCCATTCGAGTACGAATTATTACTGTCTCAACAGATTACAGACATAGTTACATAACGGCTAATCAATACACATGATCAATACATATAGCCACACTACAATTTTTGTCAGCTAGAAAATCACAAAACACTTTATATTTTCAGATATGTATTATACAATGTTGTAATTAAGATTTTGGAAACAAAAGAACACTATTCTTAACCAAGATACATCTTAACTAAAAATCGCGGGTTACTTAATAATAATAATAATAAGCCCGCAGGGCACCTTGAGGCGAGGTGACGGGCATTAGCGATCCCGCGGGCTACCATCATCCCGAGTGCTCCAGGGAGAAGTCACCGTTCCTTCTTCTCCGGCTTGCCTTAATTGGCTGGCTGGAGTGAACGATGACAAGGAACAGGTCTCCCACCTCTGGCTTGCCTTCATTGGCCGTCCAGAGTGGAGTCGCGAGAGCAGTGATCCTGCTCGGAGGGTAAGAAACTATTCGTAAGTCGCGAGTGGGCCAGGGATGCAGGAAGCTTCGGCTGGAGCAGATGATCTGAGTAGAAAGCGGTGGTAGTTTCTTAACCCTTCAGCCACTCACATTCTCGTTGCCCCTCTGTTGCTATATCTAGCAGCCATTCCCGGGGCCCGGTCGGTGAGTTGGCGAGTCTCCGCCTGCCATTTTTACGTGTAATAATTACATTGTTTCGGCAGGTGCCATAGTCATCCATAGTTCCCAATTTTCCAGTCCACAGCAACCCATCCATAGCCCTATCTTTTTTTTTCCATTATCCTCAATAGTTTTACACTAACCGGAGACTGTCCTTGGGTGCATTTCCATAGTGCATACAGGGATAGTCGCCGGTTTGTGTGTCCATTACATTTATATTAAAGTTGTCTAAAGGGCCTCTACGCAGTTGGCTTCGGCCCCTCGCATGCCTCCCAAATGACCGGGACCCTGTGGTCCCGTGAATGGTAAAGACATACAATAATAATAATAATAAAAAGCTGTTTATTTCCCATAAAATACAGTTTTATACAAATCTTAACTTAATCTTAAACTTAAATAGAAAAGATTGTACAGTTAAGGAGTTGCTATTTCATTACAATTCATTAAATGTCGCTTGAATATGTTATAGGTCTGCCTTTTATTTTTGTTTTCCAGTTTACAAATTATGTGTTTTGGCAACTTGTTTAGTATTCGGGCAAGACTGACATTCCATACTCTCTCACCATAATCGTTATGACATTTTGGTATTTCAAAGGTAGGGAGATAGTCTAGTTTACGTAATGTGTTTAATCTTTTTGTTGTATTCAATTTACACATGTCACTACTGTACTGAGTTACAATTGCTAAATCTCTCTTATCAAATATACTCAAAACCTTGCAATAATGAAACAAGTTGTGATAGTTATCTTTGTTCTTGAATTTAACTTTTAGAGGAACAATTGTTTTTAAAATTCTAATTTGCAAATTATATATATCATTTAGATATGTTTTATACGTTCTTCCATAGCTAGTTAAGCCATAACTTATGACCGAATCAGCTAGAGACATATACATAAGTCTCAGTGTTCTATATGGCACTTTATGTTTGAGCACACATAGTTTTGACAAAATTGCTCTTAACTTGTTACATATTAGGTTAACATGTGATCTCCAGTTAAACTTATGATCTATTATTAGTCCAAGGTAGGTGTGTTCTTTCACGATTTCAAGCTTCCCACACTTACAAGCATTATTGTTTATATGCATACAACTGTGCTCATGGGCGACGATCATCGGCAATGAAGCTGCTTTTTTGTAAGGCGAGTGTATATATATTAATTTAGTTTTACTATAATTAATTGATAATCCTAGATCATGAGCCCATTTGCACAATGTATCAAAATCGTCCTGCATCATACTTTGCGCCTTGATAATGTCTTTATGAGCAGAGATCAAGCACGTATCATCGGCAAATTGGTACACCGAGACATGCCGGAATACATTACACATATCATTTACGTACAATAGATATTCTGTCGGTCCTAGTACCGATCCTTGGGCCGTGCCATATTGTGTTCGTATTTGGTCGCTCTGCTCCCCGGCTATACTTACAGCATTATATCTATTTGTATGATAATTTTTAAGCAATTCCAACATTGGTCCCTGTATACCATTTTGTTCCATTTTTTGGTACAGTTTTTCAAAATTTAATGTATCAAACGCTTTGCTAAAATCAACCATAACAGCTAAAACATGGTTCCTATTATCTAAGTGCTTATTTATTTCATCTGAAAAAGTTGCCAGTAACTGAGAAGTACTTTTATTTCTTTGAAATCCGTACTGTTTTTCATGCAGAATGTTGTTACTCGTAAGAAAGTTATTTATTAAATGCCCAAAGTATTTTTCAATTATTTTATTTATACATGATAGTATTGTTATTGGTCTATAATTGTTTGTATCATCATGTTTACCCTTTTTATGTATCGGCCTAATGAGACCTATCTTTAGCCTATCTGGATATATTGATCGAGTAATACAGGTGTTAATTAAGTGAGTGAGCACTGGGGTCAATTTGTCAGATACGTATTTAATGTCTGTTGCCCTTATTTTGTCGTGCCCTGGACTTTTTTTTTCATTAATATTTTTGACTATTTTATGTAAAGTTTCTTCATTAATTTTCTTAAGTCTTAACGACATTATCGGTGTATTTATGTATGTTTTCTCATTCAATAATGGCTCATTACAAGTGTTAATAACATTCTTAACATTGTTATCAAAATCGCGTGCAAACTTATTTGTCAGTATTTTTGCGGGTAGCTTGAAATATTTAAGAAGCAAATCATCAATCGATTTAACAATTCTACCGGTCAATTTATTAATAATATTCCATAACTCCCTTGGGTTCTTAAAATTATCACAAATATCCTTTTTGATCGAGTTATTTCTAGCCTTGTTTAACATCCTATTAGTTTTATTTCTATATCTTTTGTATACTAGTTCATTTTGTTTATTGTTTGTGTCGCTTAAGTGTATTTTCAATAGTTCTTTTTTTCTATTACTCATTGATATTAATTTCTCGGTTATCCAATTACATTCGTGTTTCTTTACATTTATTATTTTGGATTGATAGGTACATTTTTTATAGACTGACTGTATTTTATTTACAATAAAATCAATTATTTCGTTGGGTTCGGCGCAGCCGAGTGCAGGTTTCCAATCAATGCTACTTAGTTCCTTTTTTACTTCATCATTATTTAATCTATTTACAACTTTATAATTGTTTTTGCATCTGGAACTGGTTATCGTTAGGCCTGTTATGAAATGATCGGCTAATGAGTCACACACAACCGCAGCATGTATTGAGTGACCTTGCGTACCTCGGCCGCACACGTCACGAACGAACAAATGATCTATACATGATTTAGATGTGGCATTTATATTCGTCTCGATTCTGGTAAATTGTGTTATACAGCTTTCAAAACCCAGTCCGTTTAGGCTGTTAAGGTAAGACTTGACAGTATTATTTGTACAACTTATATCTATGTTAGTATCGCCTGCTAAAATACAATTCACGTTTGTAGGATACGAGGATAAAAACTGTGTTAGTTCATTAATAAAATTATTCTTATTTAGGTTAGGCGGTCTATAAATAGAACACAAGTTAGTTTTATAGCCATAAGAAGTTGTTACCTCACCACACAAACACTCGAAGTTTACCGTATTCACTGGTTTTTGCATGAATGAAATACTCCTATGAGCATAAACAACAATGCCACCTCCCTTCCTTTCGTTTCGTAGTTCTGTGTACATAATATACTCCTTTATTTCGAATAAACTTGACATTGCATCGGTTATGTTTGCCTCTGTTATAATAATCAGGTGTATAATGGTCGGGCTTCTTGCTATAATGTAATCTATTTGTTGGTAATTTTAATCAAAGAACGAATGTTGACGTGTAGTAAAATGAGTTTATTTTGTTCTTCGGGTAATGCAGAAACATATTCATTCCATGAGTAATACTTGGTCTCGTCTATGTTTGTATTATAACAATCCATGCAATACGTAAAAAAGTTGCCTTATCTATGGATAGATGATACATCTTTTATTTATTTATTTATCAATTGTTTTCCGCAGTTCTTTGCCAATTCGCTCGATGTCTTTTTCGGATCGCACGTAGTGTATTTTCTTATCACCTTCTTTTTACGGACCATTATCTGTCCGTTTCTACACCAGACATACTTGCAGAGTGCTTTTTCCTTCAGATTTGTTTTAGTTTTCCATAGTAGGTAAGAGATAGTCGGTGATAATGCCTCACGTAGATACACTTTATTACCACTTTCTCCACCCAGGTCCTTACTTGTTACGTTTACTGTTCGCGCGGCTTCATACCATTGTTCACGCCTACCTTCACGTAAGGATATCATAATTGGTGCATCGACCTTTAGCCGTTCTGCCTGCGCCGTTCCCGGGTGAATAGGTTTCTTCCTTCTAACAGCTTTGATGATATCATCTGGATTTTGTTTCAGCAACTGAGAATAAGTTGTAACAATGTTTTTGATATCTTCATTTTGTTGTTCTTCCATACCACAAATTTCTAATTCATTGTAAGATTGCGCTTGTTCGAGTTTACTCAGTTTTTGCTCCAAAACTTCATTTTTTAGGGTTAGATTGGTGCAAATATCGTTTAGGTTCTTACATTGGTTTTCCATTATTTTTACACGCATTTCATAGCTTTTTACTTTCTCCTCATATTCATCAATTTTATTAGAATAAAATTTGAGGGTATTCTGTAGCTCATCACGTATAATATCTTTAACGTTCTGGCGTAATTGTCTAACTTCTTGGTGGATTTCGAATAGTGTTTTATCTTGTTGATTAGCGATTCCTTCAACATCAGACTCTTCATCATCGGGGTCAGGTAGTATGACCGATATACGCCTGCCTTTCCCACCGACTGCTATAGAGCATACACGACACTTCCAGTCAACCGATTCCATTGATGACAGTGCAGTTAGTTGTTCCGCTGTAAGTGATGCACATGAACCGTGATACCACTTGCTACATTTATTGCACTGCACACCTGGACTTTTTTTGGTTACTGCCTTACTACACTTCGCACATTTTGCCATATTAGCAATGATACACGGCGCACAATTCAACCGATCGACTTTGGAATGTCACACGAGCTTACGCGACGACAGCGCAGGCGCAACTGGCGCGAATATACTGAGAAAAGCTCTACTAGTTTCGAACCACACAGAGGTTCTTCCTCAGTAGGCTGCACGACATCGCCGCGACCACACACGCTGCTCATGACGATTTTTAGTTAATTTGCGATTTTTAGTTAATTTAGTATGTCTCACGATAGTTATTAAAAAAACAAGGAACATCTCATTGTATCTTATAAATACATTTCACCAATTGACACACACAATAATAATTATTAATTATTTAATGTGCTACGAATAGTGCTACGCGCGTAGCAGGGCCTACGCTTCGTAGCCCGTAGCGTCGTCGTAGCAGCCGCTTCTTTCATGGCTCCATCTTAAGATTTTGTTGTGAGGACACTTTAACTAACGAGCCCTGACGCTCCGTCAATCCCGTTCAGCTTTATATTCCATAAACAAGTTCTACGTAGTACATTATCCTCGAGAGTGCAATTTACAATGTTGTTAATTAAAGTAGATTTTACTTAGGCACATCGGATATTGTTATGGGTATTAAAAGTTGATTATAAACATAAGAGCTTTAGTTTCATCTTACGGGTTTATTAGATACTAAAATTTTAGAAGGTAAGTATCTATATTAACACAAGGTTGAGAATCGCGCAGCATATAATGTAAGGATGAAAGATATTGCGATGTAATTTTTGTTGATTGGAAAAATCATTATGATGATGAAACTATTTCCAGTTTGCGACATTCAAATTCGAATTCACAAATATTTTACTGTATATTTGTAAATATTTCAATTTATCCATTGACTATGTAGCAAAACCAACTGCATTTTTTTTCAATATTTTTAATCAACCACTACTGCGTGGTGGTTTGTGTTTCGTAAAAGGTGAATATTTTGCAGCGGAATGTTTTTATAAGCAATCGCGATCGCTACCTGGTATAAGTATACAACTATTGGTATTCGACACTTCGACTGGACTTCATTTTGTACAGTAATTCGCAGGCACTGAAATGAAAAAAAACATTTTAATTTGGTGTCCTTCTGATAAATTAGAAAACTACAGTGTAATGGTAAACCATGGTTTGTGAATTAGTACATTTCATTGGTAACTATTAATAGAGGAAATTGATAAAGACTAATTTGAAGAATACCCTAAAATATAAACTGCTCCTTTGACAATCCAAGACCATAATAAATGACGTCTACAAAATAAAAATCTTGTCTATATCATTCAATCGTTTGATGAGAATACTGAATGTATTCTCATTCAATTAGATCATTTCCAAAAGAAAAAAACATAAGTGAGGTAACAGTAATATTATCAAGACTACGATCAATTTAATAATTTCTAACAATAGAGTCATCACAATAGTTTGAATTGAACAATTATATTACGACATTGAAGTAAACAAAGCTAGTTGGATTGTTAGGTATTATACCTCTACAGCGTGTAAACGTGTGTTACCAGTAAGGTTTGATCTTGTATTGAGGTTAATTAATATGTTTGACTGCACGATTGGCGCAGTGATTAGGTGACGGGCTACTGTGCAACGTGTTGCGGGTTCGATTCTCGTTTCGGCCAAAAATAATGGCATTTTCTTAACAAAATTGTCATTATTAGCCCGAAGCCGGGAAGTATGACAGTGTTTCACCCTCGTGCGTCGGAATGCACGTGAAAGCCGTTGGTCCTGCGCCCGATATCTCTCCGGTCGTGTCGGTCTGCTGTCCCATCGGGTACAGACAGTGCACTTGTGTTTTCACACACACTTGTGCACTGTAATATCTCCTGCGTAATAGGCAAGCCTAGGTAGACTGGCCAAAAATCGATCGGGAGATTTATGTATGTATTTATAATATGTCACCCTGTATGATTTATTATGCTACGATTTCATGATCATCATCATCATTACATCGCAGCCAGAACACGTCTACTGCTGAACTGAGTCCTAAGGGTCTTGAAGAACTTTCAGAACTGCTAATTTGAAGTGACTCCGCATCCCTCACATTTCTATAATATTTATCTGGTCGAATGCCCACATTGTGGGCGGACGTCCTGCGTTGCATTTGCGCGGGCGAACCATTAAGAAGAATTATTTATTCATTTCTTCTGCACATAGTTAAACGATGAATGGTGGACATAATGCCGTAAGGGCTCTGAGATTCAACCAGAGAGTAGTGCAGCTTTACCGTTCAAGCAGCTTTTTGGCTATCAGTTTTTCGAGGTATTACAATTTACCAATTTACCACTGTTAATTTATATAAATAAAAATGAATCTCCATTGGTTAGTCTCGCTACAACTCGAGAACGGTTGAACTGATTTATCTAGATAGTTTTGGTCTTGAAATGTTCGTGGAAGTCCAGACAATGATTAAAAGACAAGAAAAAGAAAAATTGGGCAGTACGAAGTTTTCCAAGTCAACTAGTTTTGTATAAATCGTAGTGTACAAAACAATTATACAAATATTATACAATGGACCACTACTTGTTTTAACAAATTACGGAACATAACAAGTTGTAGTAACCGTCGAATGCAGAACAAAACTACATTTATTTCATCTGCAATATCTCGCGGTGGCTGCGTCTGAGAGTTGCGGGGAAAGTGGGGGGAGGGTGTAGGGGTGAGGAAGGAGTGACGTTGATAGAATGTAATTGGCAACAACACAAACTAATCTAAGTAATCAACGCGGTGCAATCTCTGCGAGGAATAATAATTCTTGCTACTACTACTTTTGCTGTTTTGTACGGAACTTTGCACACGGTCCTCCTGATGGTAAGTGGTTACCATGGCCTATGAACGCTTTCAACACTTGGGGTATTACATGATATATTATAATATTACGCCTTTTCATCCTCGAAGGAGCAGGGAAACAGATACACGTCTACAATGTAAAACTATGTATTAAAAAGTAAGTCTATTGTCATGTACCGAACACAATTTAAGATCCGAAGCTATAACTTAGAAATTGTCGAAAACAAGAAATTACTTCATTAATTAAAAATCACGGGTCACCCACGTGAGTATATCGAGAAAAGCTCTACTAATTTCGAACCACAGAGGGGTTCTTCCTCATGAGCAGTGTGCCCGGTCGCGGCGATGTCGCACAGCCTACAGCCGAACGAAATTACTTTATAAAAAAATTCCCGAAATCGATTTTATATAAACATTATTTTCTTACATTGCACTCGCGACCACTCGTTCAGCAAAACAGATCAGACAGACGCATTAAAACTATTTCCACAAAAAAAAAAATACAAAAGAAAATCTCCGTAGTAGTGGCATGAGAATCAATGTAGGATACAAACGACTACACATCGAACTATGCAAACCAGTATAACCTGACCGTGAAATGTGCAGAAAGGTGATACAAGTCGAGGCCATCATATACTGGAAATTTAAGCTTGAAGATTACGTGGTACGTGCATCCAATTTCACCGCGTGCCTGTGAGCGGAAGGATTCAGATTCAGAATAGAGACGGCGGCCCAATAATCCTAGTGTATGTTGGTACCTGGTATATTAGAATACGTATTTGTGTATGTAACAGTTATAGTGTTAAAGCAGCTATTGTTTGCAATGACTGTCTTTGTGTACAAAAACCTAATTGTGTAGTTACTTCACGTCTTTCTAGTAGGGCTTAAAACCCTTACATGTTCGAGTTAAATTGTTCTAAATGGTCAATTTTGTAACATAACTTTACCAACACATCACACATAACATCACGCCTTTTATCCCCGAAGGGGTAGGCAGAGGTGCACATTATGCCACTGTACAATGTAACACCCACTTTATACTATTTATGTTATGAGTCCCATGTAATAGGGGGTGAGCCTATTGCCATATACCGGGCACAATTCCAGACTCCGTGCTACTACTGAGAATTTTTTAAAACCCAGTAATACTTTGCCCGACCCGGGAATCGAACCCGAGACCTCTTGCCCGGCAGTCGCACTTGCGACCACTTGGCCACCGAGGCAGTCGTAACTTAACCAACATTATTTTATTTTAAATTTTTATGGGATAGGTAAATGAGCAGACGGATCACCTGATGGTAAGCAATCGGCGTCGCGCCTTCGCCCATGGATACCTGGAACACCAGAGTTGTTACTAGTGCGTCACCGGCCTTTTAGGGATTAGAAATTGAGGAATGTTGGGAATTCAGGAACTGAGGTGATTGAAGAATTGGGGGATTTACTCACAAGACGAAACACAACACAAGCGTTATTTCACGGCCCATTCGTAGGCAAGCATAGCACTACCACACTTATTTAATTATTTATAAATTTTTACTATATCCAAGTCTACCACGACATTATACAAAGTAACTACATAATAATCGATGCAATTAATTCAGTATCAATTATCACTTTAGTAAAATCAATAGATATTTGAAATAACGCCTGGATATGTACTTTGGCCGTAACGTATACACGAGGACGTGAAATAGAATATATCTCGCTTTATTTAGTTCCGTTTGTGAATGGTGACCTATGTTAAGGTGCATTAAGACGTTTAATAATATCAGATGGTGTGTACTAGGTACATAAATATTCGAGTTGTTGATAAAGAAACTAGATTTAGGATTTCTTATGAGTTTATTTTCTTACATAGGGGGCAAACGATGAGGATGCTTACTCTTGAAACCAATCTCAATATAAATCTAATAAAATCACAATAACTATTCAATGTCAAAACTATACAACCCCTATCGTAGCTGTTAAAACAGCATTCAGAGTACGGAATATAAAGCCAAACTCAATACCATTTCGTTCAATAAATATCCACGCAATACGGATACAATGGGCGCTAGTGTTGCAACTCAAGAGTACGAAATTTCACAATACCAATGTCGATCGATCGGAATTGGATTCGAGAGTAAACCTCCAGGTCATTAAACCGATGGTAATAAGTATCAGCGCCACCCATGTGGACATTTGCAACACCAGAGCGGTTT